TCCTCTGAGGTGTCGCGATACAACATCCCTTCAGTAAGGTTCGCCAAGAAAGAGTCTAGAGAAGTATCTGTGGACGTTGGACTCATTCGGTGAGAGACGCTCGGAATATTGACGGCAACTTCTTCAGCAGGAAGTGATGTTGCATGATCTATCTTTTTCCTCTTCCTTTTTCCAGAATTTGTGAGAGCTTGATTGACTTCCAATGTTTCCATAGGAGTGACGTCATTTTCCAAGGATCTCTCCGATGATCTGTTTGAATAATTTTCTTCTGCACGTTGATTTCTTGATATTTTCGATGTCAATGTTTGGATTTGCGATTGAACTAGCTGCCTGCGCCTGTATACACTATTATCAGTCTCATAATCAAATCCAGGGAGATCTGAACCTGAGAAATCCACCTGTGCCTGACCAATGTGAGATACTAACAGGGAATCATTCGTCACACTCTGTGTTTCACACTCTTCGAGTAACGTTCCAATTATCTGCCGATGCCTTGGAGACGTAGAGCTAGCTTCAGCAGCGAAACCGATAATATCGGTATCTGAGGAGCTCGCATGTGAAGGTTGAGATGAAGTCTTTGATTCCAGTGGTCGAAGTGTACCCCCAATAATCTCCATTTGTCTTGAAGGAGTAGAGCTGGCTGCGAGGTCGAAACCAATACTATCGGTATGAGAGGAACTTGCCTGCGAAGCACAAGTGAAAGAAGTTAGTGGAGAATCGATGGAAGTTGACGATTCTAATTGTTGAATAGTTGCTGTGATCTGCTGCCTATGTCTAGATGGCGTATTCCTCATATCTTCAAAGAAACCTATACAATCGGTGCCTGCAGAACTCGCCGGAGACTGACGGCTGGAAACGAGAGCCGTATGTTCTCCGATGGCATGTGATGCCAGGCTTCTTCCACAATCAGGTGTAGGGATCTCTGATTCCAAAGTTCGAAGTTCCGTTTCAAGCCATTGCCTACGTCGGAACGGACTACTGCTTGTATCTTGGTAGAAACCCATACAATCGGTGCCTACAGAACTCGCCGGAGACTGATGACTGGAGACGACAGCCGTATGTTCAGTGCCTCTGGTGGCATGTGATTCCAGACTTCTTGTACGATCATCTGCGGATATTGGCGATTTCGAATGTTGAACTGTGCAAATTGCCTGTGGTTGTCGATTGAAGTCAACAGCTGTATGAAAATCGCTTCCTATGTTATCTAAGTTCACCCCGTTATTTTCAACTTCTGTAACAGGGCCCGCCTCCTTGATATCGTTAGTTTTTTTAGCTTGTCTCCTATAAAAAAATTACTCAATATGAAGGCAGCCCATCACCAAGCTCACAATTCATTCCAATATCATCTACCATAATAACAAACATACATGAAAATAATCCAAACGTCAGACAAAAAACATTAAATTATTTAGGACAGTACTCATAATTCAACTCTGCTTTGACCGGATCGGAGCTTCGTAACCTTTAGCTATTTCTAGTGACTCTTGTTACATTTTATCCTTCCCTTTGCGACTTTGAAGATGTTTGACTCTACTGGTAATGGCCCTTATAACGCTTGACTCTCCCCCTACTGACTCTTGTCCGATTTCATGTTTCCCCTTGTGACTCTCGTGATTTTGAGGCTTGTCACTCCAAGTAATTCTCCCGATGTTTGCTTCCGGGCAGAAGTTGTGTAATGGTGATTTTTTTCGATTCGCTAATTTTATGTGGAAAAACTTAGAAATGCCATAAAACGTGAATAAATGATATTAAAAAAAACGTCTGTATGTATGTGTGTAAGTATGTTCTCGTTTGCCCCGTTATTTAGAAAACGGTCAGTGCAATCAACTTGAAATTAGTAGCTAATTGGTACTATTGATCCTCACAACTAGTACAAATTTCAACTCGATCGATCAAGCGGTTCCTGAGATATAGAGATTCCTTGAAACTCATTTTTGCCTGTATTTCCTAATTCGTTTGGCCGATTCGACTTTTTTTTTTTAAATACCCGCGATAGGACTTACGTAATTGGATCACAAAACGCCGATGACACTCCAAGTAATGTAGATTCATTCTTTTTTTTAAAATTTTTTTGCTGNGAAACTTGAAACTTGGTACGATTTTAGGTTTTGTGATATCAAAATTTAGTATTTCGAATGAGCGAAATCGGACCAGTAGTTTCGGAGATATTCGACTTCCTTCGCAAAACATTGTTGCTCAATATCTCAAAAATAACTGGTCTGATTCAATTTTTTTTCCACAAAACGAGTGGCTCGATGTCCGTCAAAACTTTTAATTAATTTTCAGCTCGATTGACCAAGGGATTCCTGAGATCTAGTGCTTCCTGAAAAATCTTTTTTTGCTGATATTTTCAATACAGTTTGACCAATTCGATTTTTTTTTAATACTCGTTGTGATGTAATGAAATTGCGATCCAATCAAATTGGTACAAATAAAAATTCNATTTTTAGATTTATTTTGTGTTCAGTGAAATTTTTGTCGGAAGTGAAATGTGACCGGGGTTATCTACACTAACAAGATTATCTACCCTCAGTGCATACTCTTCCCCCAAAACTTTGTCTACTTCTTACGGCGCGAGTTTTTTTTTATTCTTTATAAAATTAGGCTCAAAAAATTAATCAATAAAATAGAATTCGCGCTACATCGCCCTTTTTTCTTTTTTTATTCCCTTTAGGCTATAAAATTGCCCCCAAAAAGTACCGGAGAACAGTGGGGGAAATACGCCATCTTAGATGGCAGAGAACATAGACGAGGGGGGGTGGGTGGAGGGGAGAGGGGTTTCGAACCTCCATGCGGGCCTTAATTTCGAAGTGGAACTGTTTTACATATTTGATGTTTGGCAGTTTCAGCCTGTTTACAGTTCTAAGGATCTTTGAGCTAAGCCCATTCCGTTTGAGAAAATGCACATTGGCTTTGTGAGGGATATATTTAAATAAGGTAAAATTATGTTCTCATATTTTCTGTAGTTCACTGATTATTCAGTTATATTAAGAGCTATGAGATCCTTTTTGACTCAATGAATGAAAAAATAAAATAAAAATAAATTCAAATTAAATCTGAGCCAGAAGCATCCAGGTTCCTATCCAGAGATCAGTATTGAAATCTTCTTAGTGACTTGACATCATTCACAACCAACTTGAGGATTTATCTCAACGTTGACAAGTCAGAAAATTATGATAGTTCATTTATGAATGACATTATCTTTCGTCAATTTAATTGAGAAGAGTAGAACTTCAATATTCAGAGTTGGACCTTGGAGAGAGAGGATTTTCTCCGCGAATATTGATTCTGTAAATCTGTTTTTGTTGCATAAAATACGAATTGTTCACTCGTAATTTTAATCAATTATTTCTATCAAAAACAAACAAATGTTTGTTGTGTCTTATTTACCTATCAATTATATCATCTGGGCACTAGGTCAGGATGAAGGCCAACTCCATTTCATTGGAATCATCTTCTCACTCATTAAAACATCCTCGAACCATATGTGAAGATGCTTCGTGTATCCCTGATTCAGGATTAACAAAGTTTGATCCCAATAGATTGGAGATCTCCAAAGTTTTAAAATATTTTGTCACTTTGACAACATCTCGAGACTTATTTTATGAGATTTTATGATGATTTCGAAAAATCAGGAAAAAACCTGATAAATCTGTGGATTTTGTTTTCTATGGAAAGGAATCAAACTTCCCAATACACTGGTTGTCATTGCCACCTTCGGGCAATTGTTACCAGTCAACAAATTATCATTATGAAGTTTTTCCATATAAACTAATTGAATAAGTTTATTAAAAACTATTACGTATTACAAACATTCATGTTTGTTTATTTCTTTATTATTATTATTTAATATTGCTGATTTCAGCTGGGGTTGACCTCTGGCGTTAGCCAGATAGACCATTGTCAATGGTTTAGATATCTAGATACCAATGCACTGGTTGTCATTGCCTCCTTCGTGCAATTGTCACCAATCAGGACGCGCAAACGTGACTCATTCATGTCGAGTAACCGCAGCCGTAATAAAAATTAAAAATGACAAAAGTAATTTTAACTCAAAAAATTGAATATTACCTTTCGAGGTCACATCGCACTTGTGGAGCAATAGTTTCTCCCGGTGTGACATTTCTCGTAGGATTACTCCTGAAGGCTCACTTCTTTTCGTTCTAATATTTGTCCACATTTTATAATGAAAAAAGTTGATAATCAATTGATTTTTAGTAAATATAAATACTCTCTATCGTGTGTCTCTTTCGAGCACAAAAAACGTTATGAAAACGACAGGTCTATAGTGGCGCCACCAAGCCCTCATGGGGCACTTTTTTGAATTGCTCTCTAAACTTGTGGCTGCATGATCAGCGGTACTACCAGTAAATATCAGGATTGTAATCCCGAGAACGAGACTGAAATATAATAGCCTTTATGTCGCGCCGTGCAATAAGTCGAGTTTATCGCACGCTACGCTTCGCGCAGTCTGCTCAAAACTCGACTTCTGCACGACTTGACATAAAATATTATAGAGCACTCGGTAATAAATTTCGTTTTCAACGAATGTGTGTAAACTACACATTCGTTGAAAACGAAATTTGTGCCCTTGTACTCTAATGTACTATTTTGTATACAATGAGATTTTTTTTATTAGGGAATTTTCATTTCAATAATTCCAACATTCCTCTCCTTTTCTCACTCTCGATAATTCAACATGCCGCAGGGCCTACCGGATAGGCCGACTTAGATGTGCGAGTAAGGCTGCGCAATAGTCTCACTAGTATATCAGCTGAATCAACTCTGTAGAATGGCGATCAACTCTGTAAGTGTGGTGGGGACCGAGCGTAGTAGTATAGTACAGTCCGACTTTTTTTTCTTATCGAGACTGCTTTATAAAGCGGAGTTTATGGAAGAAGGAGTCGGACTGTAGCCGTTCATATTATTCTTAACCCTTAATCAAACAGAAAACCTTGCACATCATCGATTGGAATTTCATTTGCTTTTATTATTTTCAGATATAAAGAAAATATTAAAAAACTATGGACTATATTTCGCGACAGACCTCAACATCCACTAGACGAAGCCATCTGGTGGAGTGAATACGTGATAAGACACAAAGGCGCTCCCTATCTTCAACCAACCAGGCTACCTTGGTACAAACATCACATGGTTGATATCTATGTTTTCTTCGTTATGGTATTCCTAGTTCTATCGTATCTTCTAAGAAAATTAATACAATTTGTAATCATTAGAACTCGAATTCAGTTAAGTTCAATTTCTAAGAAAGTCTTAATGAATTCTCTGATGCGAGAAAAAGAGAAAAATTCCTGATTAGATCAAGCGTTTGAATTTTGCATGGAGCTCATTCCGTCTTTCGAGTTCAAAATGTTTAGTAACGACCCAGCAGCGGCCGTTTTCTCTCATACCATGTTAGCTCTTAGAGTTCCTTCTGCATCGTGTTATTTCTGAGTTCATTTTCTTTAGTTGAGTTTTTTTCTTGCTCTTTATATGAATAATATGTATTCTGATTTCTAATCGAAATAATATTTTTTTACATACTGTACAATAAGAGATTCACGTAGAATGCCAAGCAAGAGCCAGTTATCGGGCGTTTAAAGTTTGAACTAGAGGTAAACATGAATCAAGATAAATTTTCGGGGTAAATCATATGTGTGAGGATGCGAGAAAATGAAAAAAGTCTACTTTGCCAATTCTAGTTATTGAGATATTCATGTTTATCTGTTAAGGAGTTCCATGTAAGCCAATGTGAACGTGTTTTTTTGATCGTCACTAACATCATGCTTTTCTAAGCAATTCGAATCACTTGTAGCTGAAAAAATATGAAATGTCGCTGAGAGTCTCAGGATGTACATAACTCTAATTGACAAAGTCAGCCCTTTTCATGTGGATGGGTAGGGAAGGGTGTGCCTGTGCCGTTCACCTAAGGGAGAATGTCAATTTTACATCCTAACTTCAACACAGAATCCAAACAATCATTTTAATATCCTCTTTCACTACCCAACGAGTTATTTCTCACGCACAAAAATCTAACTTTTGTCAGAATTTACAAAATTAATAAAGAACTGTCGTGAGACCCGATCGAATGATATTATCCGACGTCGGGTAATAACGCTCGGCACAATTCCTATATCGCTCACTCAGTTGCTTATATCATTGGCGCTGCAACCTAACCTAGAACCAGTTACTGTGAATTTACAAACACCAACGCTGAAGTGAAATGAATTTAAAAAATGCTTAAATGTACTCCTCAAAATTAGAAAATGGAATTAATTAAAAAATTTGATATTTGCTATGGGATACTTTAAATTTTAAGATTATTTTTCTGTTAGTTATTCAAGTGGATTCGACTGGTTTCAAAGGGAATAAGTGTCCTAATTCGTTACTCGGGTAGAAATCTCTTCACTCAATCCCCGCTTGTTACACAGTTAAGTCGGAGCTAATAAGTAGACAGTTTGAGCGCGAGCGGAATTTCAGCCGCATCTTCGCTTGAATTTCTACATGGGTAAGAACCAATCGAATAACATGAAAAATAAAATTGATGAATTTCAACTAAACATTTATTATTATTTTGATAAAACATCACAAATATCTGACTTTTTTCATTTTGTTACTTAATAAATATTTTACTTTGTAACTTTATATGTACCCCCACCCTAATCTATCAATGATATTGGAGAAAAACAGTGTAAATTTGTTAATATTTATTTTATAATCTTTCCTGATATATCTCGTGATCGGTGTAGTTGATCCGCGTCGAGCGGCACAAGAGCCAACATAATCCGTCACTCCCTCGATGCTGTAGCATAGTTTTTTATGCTGAGGCTCTCCGCCACAGTCATCAGTGAGACGATGGGGGTCCACACGTAGACGCCTGAGTTGTCAGCTGGCATGTGACTATCGCCGCCCGTGTTTGACTATGTGAGTCTCCCAGACTCGGTAAGTGCATACTCGGCAGTGTGCTCACTAGACTGTTTCAGTATCCAATCATCGGAATTTTTTCTCACCTCGTCGCACGAATACCGTTGCATTTTCGGGTGAAGAAAAACATCCATAAACCGGCGCGCTGTCGGATGATTCTTCACGTGGCTCATCGAGAAAAACTTTTTCCCATAAGAATAATATGTAAAAATCGATCTCTTTCGAATAAGACTTGAATTATATAATCAATAGTTATTTGATCACAATAATTGTTAATAGGGTTTGTTAAAATATATATCATTTACGGAGAGGGATGAAAAAAACGACAGATAATGACTGGGGTAGAGTGCGGAAGTGAGGAGAAAATTAAAATTGTCTCAAGTTGTTGCAATAACGCATTAAAAATGAGGGGAAAAATCTGAAAGGAGTCGTATAACTTCAAAATAAGACAAAAGTTTATTGCAAATGATTTCTCCATTATTCTCAATGTTTTTTCGGTACAATTCATATAACACTTCACGTAATAATTCAGTCGCTGACGCATCTGTGCCTAAAACGTTTTCTGATGACTTGAAATGGTCATAATATCCATTGCATTATATTGATTGACTGATCACTGAATGAGTTCAATCACTTCTTCTTTGATAACGCTCGTTTGGAAAAATCTTGGTTATTTTTTCGATAATCATGGACCAACTGTAAAAAATATTATTTTTGCTCCTCGTCTCGAGTAATACTGTTGTTATATGCCTCCATTAATGCTACCCCACGCTCCGCAGTATCATTTACCACCCTAAATTCTTTCAATAAAATTACGGCATTTTTATATCCCTCATCAGTTGACCATTTCGCTGGATGTAAATCGAGGAACTCACGGGGCAGACCCAACTGTTCAAATAAGAAGAGGGACCTCTCAAAAACGAAATCACTGAGGTTTCTAAAACGTAACGATTTCAATTGTGCCTCTTTGATAATGCATCGTTTGGCATTGTTGCTATTACTAGCTCATTCCCGTAGACATTGTACCATTTGAATTTTATCGTGAGAGGATACCGAATCATCGAACAGTGCGAGTCCAATGCGTTCCTCTGACAAATACCATAAATGTTTTGCGAACTTCGATCTCACCGTAACAGATACTTCTTTATTTATGGTTTCATGATCAATCAAACCATGCAATAATTTCAAATCATTATTTGGGGCTTGGATAGAAAGTGGTGCATCAAACCACGACTGAATATAGAATCTTACAATGAAAAGACACACCTCTCGAAGGGCTTTCTCTTCTTGACTTTGAAGAGTGAATTCATTCCTGAATAGATATATTTTCAGTGAATAAATCGCCTTCGATAGGAATCGTGCATGGTGCATCGCCCCAGGTTTCTTGAAAGTGTAATTGTTTGTTGGTGAGTCTCCAAGAAAAATCCTCGCCAATTCCAATAATTCTCGATAGTCCCCCCTTGGTTGATACATCTGGAATATTAACGAATATTCATTTCAATATGAATGACATCATTGAACGTCGTTCAAACTGGCAGTTCAATCCTCAATACCGCCAATTGGTTGCTGATAAAATCCAAAAGCTGAGTTTTATCTACGTCTTGCAGTCTTTTAACGACAATTCCATCTGTCATGCCTCCTTCGAACTTAGATTTATCAATTTTAATCCAAGCTTTGGGAAACTTGTTGAAAATTGGTACGTTGGGACCAGTTGTTTTACCGAAATACAATTCAAAAACACCCCTCAACAGCAACTCATTGATGTGATGACGGCACGGGAAGTAAAGCAAGGGTCTTCCCAAGGCTTTTTCGAGCAAAACACAAGTCCCGTTATATCGTCCTAGAAACAGGGTATGTTGAAAACATGATGAATAATCGCTCGATTTGTGACAAAACAATAGTTTACCTGTATTAGTGCTGGTTGTGTCAAAACATAAAGCTTTCACGCGATCTGTAACTTCATAATTCTGGACAGTGTCGATAATTGCTTCTGCTTGCTCGGCTCCTGTCCCAGAATCGAGTTTCGGTACACCGAGCCATTGCTCTGTATGCAATCCAGAGACGATAATAGGGAGTCTATCCACGATTCCTGATCCTGAAATATCGGGCAGGAGTTTTCCGTCAAAATGAACTACTAAAGACTCTGCAACTCGGAGATTTTGTTTCAACTGTTGTGCGAATCGGGCTCGATGTATTGCTCTCCTCCTGGAAATTGTACTATGACTGAAAGTGTAGTCATTCAAATCAAGGCCGGCACTGACCAATGTTGCCACAATGATACGAGTGGCTTTTCTTCCACTTAAATTCGCCCCATCTAAGGCATGCGAAACACTTGGAGTGATGATTTCAATTTTCTTAGCAGGTGGAAGTTCCAACTCGTCCTTGAAATTTGAAACTGTCCGTTTCACACCAGAAATACCATGGGAATCATCTGAATCCGTGCTCGACATCGACGACATTCGATTGCTCAACTGACTCAACTCTAATTGAAGAAGAAATGAAATTTATCAATAATGATATGACCAAAACTTATATTACTTAAATTTTCGAATAGGAAATAACTTCAATAGAAAAATACCTGCGTCATCAGGGTTGTTACTTATTTCATCGCAAATATCCGGTATTTGTTACATTGGCTCAGGACTTCTTTGAGCCAGTGGGTCATCGTGATGGTCTAACTCACTTGGCTCTTCATGATAAATAAAATTCCATCAGATTTGTTAATAATTATAATTTATTCATCTTGGAAGCAAGTGATTCTATCCGAAAGTGTCAAAAGAAGCGAGTTGCAGTTGACTTAATTTCAGATGAAAAAATTTGTTGCCGAGATTTTCTTCGAATTGACTCACTTTTCAGATGCTCGATGATTCGAAAATTTATGAAAAAAATATTTGTTGCATGCTTTCGCCACTAAATTGAAATACACTTAGATCATCTTACCATTATCGTTGCCATGCATATCATTTCCATTTTTGGCGCTCGCATCAGGAGGACGGTATTCCTGATCTCCTGGATTACATTTTACATTTTCCTCGAAATCGTGAGGAACACTGGAACCTGCAATAACCATTATATTCAAGTAATTTCTATGAATAGTTGCTGTCATAAATATGGAATTCGGATACAGAATCCAGTATCTGTTTGGTTGGCATCGTACTCACAATTGTCCGAATTATTCACATCAATGTCAATCAACGAACTCCTGACAAAGCCGCATCGAGTACTTTTACGTTGTGATTCTAAAAATTGTCGGCCATCGTTTCCCATCGTCACCAATGCATTTTGTTCAGCAATATCGAATACTACATCAAGACGACGTTGAAAATTATCTTCTTCTTCATTCTGAGTCACTGAGTTTCTCCTGGAGCAATTTTTGCGTAATCGTTTCCACTCATCGTAAAGGTTTTCAAGCATTTTGGTAATACTCTCGATTCGTCGTATCGGGATTTGAGCTTGTTTCCAGAAAGCTTGCACTTCTTTTACTGTCTCTGATGAGCTTTTTCTAACAGAAAACTTCAATGTATTATATTTGTAGAAAAAAAGACTCAAAACCTGCCTCGATGTCGGCAACTTGCAGCCACGGATTTTTTCTTCTTCATAGCCAACCAAATAAATATCCCTTTTCTTTCTAACCTTCTTCACTTTGATTTTTACTCTTTGGTATTCACCTCATTTTATTGACTGTTTGATAACTTCCACCACACCAAAAATAATAGAGATGGACCGAAAACGAACCGAATTCGATGAAGAATCACAAATACTACCAAACAATGTCTGATTCCAGCACCCAAACAAAGACTGACGCCAACAACCGTTCACGGACTTCACTGAACAAGCATTGACATGATTGAACAAAGACTGACGCCAAAAAACGAATTACTCACGTTTTTTGCAGACAATTCCCGAAAAAACGCACAGTAATTTGGCGAAGTGGCTAGCGTGCCAGTCGTCATGATGAATCATGTGAAGGACGAGGGTTCGAATCCCGTGGATGATTGTTTTTATCCACCTTCATTTCTTCACATTTTTAGATCCATTTTTCCACTTAAATATAGTCTTCACATCAAAGTAAACAGTGATAAGATTCAGGAAGATAAAAAAAATATTAGATGTCATAGAGGAAAATCTTATTGAGAATATCTACCAAATACTGATCATTGGGCACACTAGGATTTGAATTGGACTGGAAAACATGGTGAATATTGAAAAAAAAAACATTCAACATCACATTGTGTATGGTTTTGGAGTGGTATAACTCTTTGCTGATTTTTCCCCTCATTTTTAATAGCTCGAGATAATTTCAATTTCCTCCTCGCTTCTGCGGTCTACCCCAGTCATTATCTGCCGTTTCTTCATCCCACTTCGTGAATGGTATATATTTTAACAGATCCTATTAATAATTATCGTGATACTGCAACTATTGATTATATAATTCAAGTCTTATTCGAAAGAGATCGATTCTTACATGTTATGCTTATGGGAAAAAGTTTTTCTCGATGAGCCACGCGAAGGATCATCCGACAACACGCCAGTTCATGGATGTTTTTCTTCACCCGAAAATGCAGCGGTTGTCGGGCGACGAGGTGAGAAAAAATGCCGATGATTGGATACTGAAACAGTCACACTAGTGCTCACTTGTATTCTGCTGTAGTCACTACGAAGTATATGCCTCCGCGGTGCACTGCTCCTATTCGCGAAACTTATGCGAATCGTTCATCGAAGAAAAACGAACGAAATTCAAATCAATTCGAACGACAAAGGAACAGCTGCCGATAGTTCAGTATATCAGCCGCAGATGCGGCAGAGTTCCAAAATGCTGCTCAGAAAAATTACTCAACGAGAAGTCAGAAATGCGAAGTAATGAAATTACTTTTATAAAAATATTCCAATTCCAAAACATATCATAAATTAACTGAGTGAAATGCATAAAATCAAATGAATAAAACCCCGTCTTATCCTCGGTATACCACTACTTGATTCTCGGTTAAGAAATCACAAATATGAATTCCAAAACATCAAAATAAACTATCAAATGACTCTATACAAGACAATTCTCTAGCCGCCATATGTCAAAAGATAAAATACCAGTTAATTAAAAGACAGTCAAAATTAGTTAATTAATCCGTAGTCACCAAGAAAAGGTCAAACGATAAATAACTAGTAAAATTACCAATAAGTCAAAACAATCTCGATGCGGTAATCTACTATTGCCTCGAGAAAACCGCGTACCCACCCAAAATGATGAGAATAAGAATATAACTTCACCGGCTGTTGGCAGGGGGATTGATCGAGAGAAAATATAAACAACACAGTCGGCAACCAACGACAAAAAGGCTATCTGGTAACAAGACAAACTCGAGCGTTAACTACTCTGCAATCCCACTGACAATCGTCGAAATATTCACGCAGTCGAGACGATTAGAATCCAGAAAATAAATGCAATACAGTTTGATTTTGGAGGCCGAGAAAAATAATAAGAATATCTCGAGAGGCTATAATACTGACCTCGAGAATTAGGATCCGCCGTAATATCTGGAATCGATATCAATTATCCGGCGGAGGCGAAACAAGGGTCGACCAAATTAATAACTATTAGAATCAACTAAAAATTACTAAAATTTATCCGGAAAGAAACTAATGCATTTCCATCAACTCAACCGAATAAATTAATCAACAAAGAATCGAACGCGGAAATAATGACTCTGCGGAACGAGGAGTGAGCACCAGTCTGAAAATATGACAAGCTCAAATCGCGTGAAACATTATGGAGCGTTGGACGTTGTATCTTATGAAACGTGTAATTATTGGTACAAACGTTTTAGAAGTGGTGATTTCGATCCGAGTCACCAGCCGCGTCCTGGACAGCCTCGAAATTTTACAGATACGGAATTGCAAGCTCTACTGGATGAAGACTCAACGCAAACACAACAAGAGCTTGCAGCTCAGTTAGGAGTCACCCGAGCAGCTATTTCTAAGCGTTTGCGTCAAATGGGAAAAATCCAAAAACTTGGAAGGTGGGTCCCACATGTGTTGATCGAACACAACCTAGGTCAACGTATGAACACGTGCCTTTCACTGCTTGACCGGCAACAAAAAAAGGACTTCTTGTGGAGAATTGTGACGGGTGATGACAAGTATATTTTTTACGAGAATCCCAAACTTAAAAAGTCGTGGGTAGATCCCGGGCAACCCAGTACATCGACGCCGAAACAGAACATCCACTTAAAGAAGTGTATCCTGTGTATCTGGTGGGACATGAAGGGTGTGCTTTATTACGAACTCCTGGAAACAGGTCAGACGGTGACTGCGGAACGCTACAGCCGACAACTGAACAAACTGAGTGAAGAACTTGATCGGAAAAGGCCATTTACTGGGCAAGGAAGCAGGCAAGTCATACTCCTGCATGACAATGACCTCACGTTGCCCGTGCGACTCGGAAGGCCCTCTAAAACTTGGGATGGGAAGTTCTCCCACACGCGACATATTTACCAGACTTGGCCCCATCCGACCACCACTTGTTCCGGTCCATGCAGCACGCCTTAGTGGATAAACAGTTTAAAACGATGGACGGTGTGTCGATGACTTTATCGCCTCGAAGCCTGCAAGTTTCTTTCGCGATGACATTCGAATGTTACCTGAGTGATGGCGCAAGGTCATAGAAAACGATCGACAATATTTCCAAGATTAAGTTCGTTGTTCTCTATTCTTTTATATTAAATAAATTTACTGAAAAATCTTTAAAAGTTAAGTCATACACCTAATATCTAAAACAGCGAAATAGCATGAGCCAAATGTTCGCATAGCGATTAGTCTGGTGCCCAAACGAGAAGTGACAGTTGCCGGCAGGGTTGGGCAAGTAAATTACCTCAGGTAAATTACATGGGGAATTTTCAAGCTATTTGACATGTCGAAAACTCATTTGGCGCCCTTCATTGGCATGATCAAACCGTGATATTTTTTCATATCAGGAGGGTCAAATGTCGCAAGAATCATACCTCGCAAGGGCCATGCCGAGCGATTGGGGATGAAGCGATGGTGAAACATCGCAACGTTCATACCTCACGAGGATCAAACGTCGTAACCACTATAATCCATAATGACCAAACTAACACTGGGGCCAAACAACAAGGTCATGGTGGGTAATTTCAAGGCTCAAATAACTATCTCTCTATTCAATTTTGTATTTCTGCGCTTTGAACCATTGTACATAATTGCTAAACCCAATCAGAAAATATGAAAATTAACCAATTTTCACATTTTTTTCTTTTTTTTACGGCCTTTTGAGTCCTCTTTCTCGAGTCTCATTTCGGCACTCTATCCAACCCCATGCATGCGGCTGTGGATTCTACACTGTACCGCATTCGCACTCCTATAAAACATAGGAGTAGCATAGGAAACCATGGGAAACCCATGCCGGTACAGGCGGTTACTCTTTTAGCAACCTCTCGCTCGTCGGAACCTTCCGTTGAAAAATTCGGTTCTACGGGGAATTGACCTCACAACCCACTCAGTCACGGGCGTCGGTTCCAATTGCCATTTGGAAGCAAAAAATTATAATAACGTCTTAGAGAATCGGTTAATGATGGTCACATACGAGCACTCGCCACGTGTGATATTTTTAAATTTTAGAATTAATTTTTATTTTCACTCTTGCCCTACTTTGTGCTATCAGTATCGGTCTAAGAAATGGTAATTCTAATAATGCTATGATAATATTAGTGGTTATCGACCATTGCTTCTGTAATATGCATGTATAATCATGCATATTGCCAACTTCGATATCAGTTGCCTTACTCAAATGGTACAATTTCGTCTGACATCATTTTTGTAAGTCTTCATCATAGTGACCATGTGCGTACGATCAATTGGTTCCAAAATATCTTCCGTAATTACTTTTATCATCAGTGTTTTATTCTTAACATCACATGTGGATGCAGCGAGGATTTTTGCACTTTTTCCATGGCCGGCGTATAGCCACCAGGTGAGTCCATCAATTTTTCTCATAAACATCAAATAGAGCGGAACTGTCATCTTTCTGGAAAAACATGATCTAATTGAATAATTCCACGTCCAATCCGAAATGAAAAAAATATCATGTTGCCGATTGTTTCGCCGATTTTTTTTTAGGATTACATAAGACCAAGCTTGCATAAAATTCTTAGAGCGATTCGATTTTTTCTCAGCCGGTTATGATTTTTCGAAAAATTTCACTATTTCCACTGAATTTCCATTGAATTTTGATTGCTTGAGAAAAAGGTGAAATAGTTTAATTTAATCATTAGGAGGACATCATTAGAAAAAAAAACCGTATCGCTGTAAAAATTCTATGAGAGCTTGGTCTCTTTACTTATTCTAAAAAAAATCGGCAATGCAATCGGAACCATGACATTTGTTTCATTTCGGATTTGATGTGGAAATGCTCATAGATTTGATATTCATTTTCAATTCAATCTTCATTTGCAATTCATCTTCATACGTTTTTTCGTTCAAGGCTTATAGAATAAATTTGATTATTTGAAACGATTAAATCACTCCTGCATTTTAAAATTTTGAAAGAATTATAAGGAGCCACATTCACATTGGTTGCATATAACCTGATTGTCAATTCTGGAACACCATCTTTATTTACGATTTCTCTTCTTCTAATTTCGGTCATTTTTTGAAGTGCTAAATTATTCACGACAAATATAAATTTTATATCGTCTTTTTGACGCATTATCTCGAACAATTCATAAAATTCAAATGTGTCCCAAAGTGGATTAAGGTCTACTAATACGGCCATTTCATTTCGTTTTGAAACTTGATAAACAGATTTGTATAATGTGGGGCTAATTGATTAAAATCCCCAACCGCTAAAACAGAAACACTGCCAAATGGTTGATTCACGCCTTTTATCTGTCGTAATCGTGTAACTATGTAGCGTAGGGTAGTGCAACCTACCATGGTAATTGCGTAAATTATCAGCAATTGTAAACTGGATAATTTTTCGCGGATGGTATTAGCTAAATCTTCAGACAATTTTGGTAAATTAACTCCATATTGATTATACGGTAATGCAAATGCAGAATGTAATGCTGCACCATTTATTCGAAACGCAGCAATTTTGGGGGCTAATTAGAGATATATTTACGGATATATTCGCCAAAGGACAATCATTATTGTGCAATCTTTATTCGTTACACGAGTGATTGTATCAGGATCAATTTGGAAAGGATCACATAACCGTATCATCCAGTCTAGATCCTTCCCCGCATGACGAATCTTGATGATGTTAAAATGTCTTGATTATTGAGATTGTCAATGAAAGTCAATGGGAAGAAAATGCAATATTAACTTACATAGAATTCGAACATTTCAAAATCTGATTGTTCCAGGTACTTAATCACCAATTATCTATGGGCCTGGCCAAGAGGGGACACGAACTAACAGTGTTTACAACGAATCCAATGAATCTTCACATTCCCAACTACACAGAGCATTCCTTGAGTCATATTTACCCTATTGTTCGTACAAACTTGAACTACATAGACAGAGGAAAAGAAGGGTTAGTGCATCATTTCAAGTCATTCGTCAAAGTGACTGAAATGATGGCTGATACAGTATACTCAAATACTGATCTGAAAGATTATGTGTCACCAAACTCTACTAAAAAGTTTGATCTCGTAATCATAGCATCTGTTTACGTCGATTCACTCTATTATATCTCTCATCTATTGAATGCACCTTTGATCGTCACGGTTACAACACCAGGCTTCGCTTTCAATTATTTCGAAATAGGTAAATAACAGTAATAATTTACAGTTGTGGAGAGTAGAGCAAAGTGGAACGTTTGTGGTCGACTTTAAATTTCGATATCTGTGTTTATACATGGAGATTTCGGGATTTTTAGTCGACGACAAACGTTCCACTTTGACGCATCTTCATCTAATTAAATTGAGAATAGAAGAGGGTGAGGCAAGGAATTGATCGTTGCTAACTAGTGCATTGAGTAATCAAACGGTACCCCACTTTACGTCATTTTCTGATAGTGTGCGTGAATCGATGTGTTTCTCTGATGGCACATTACATAAACTGTCCGAGCCCCTACCAGCTTTACATTGAGGTGATTGGAGTGGTTGGTTACTCAATGGGTTAATTATTTCAGCATAAAGGGTAACAATGCATTCCAGTACGGGAAATATGTTTGGCTTCGTAAAAGGTTCTCTAACATTTTCTTCTGCAATCACTCATTCTTCGAATAATAACATGATCAATAAAAATTTCATGTTAAATTGGTGACGCGTCATATTACAGGTAATCCTACAGTTCCTGCATGTTTTCCGGATGTCAACTTGGGTTACTCCGACCATATGGATTTCCGACAAAGATTGGAAAATTTGCTGCACATAATTCGTCAATGGTATGATTACCACTATGTATCAGGTCCAGCACACGGACGAGTCCTGAGGAAACATTTTGGTGATGTTCCATCAATAGAAGACGTCAGGCGTCGCATCAGCATGATGTTTCTCAATACACATCCACACCTCCATTATCCCCGTCCAATGCCTCCGAACATTTTGCAAATCGGAGGATTAAGAATGGGATTGATGAATAAGACTCTGCCAGAAGAAATAAAAAGCATTTTAGATGATGCCAAGCAGGGATTCATATATTTTAGCCTTGGATCGAGTGTCAATAGTAGTCAGTTAAGATCTGAGATATTGGAGAACATCATCGGTGCTTTCAGTGAGCTGCCGTATCTGATTGTATGGAAATTCGATTCAGACTTACCTCTACATCAACCGAGCAATGTACTCATTTGGAAATGGATTCCGCAACATGGAGTTCTAGGTAACTACAATATTGATTACCAAATACAAATACTGTAAACTAGCCGTAGTGACATGAAAGTACCAATCTACATTTCCCTAAAAAGTGTATATTTTTTATGATGAGGGCGTTTTCGCAAAATTCAACCAGATGGCAGCAGATGAATACGTACTCCATTTGCCGAAAGCATTCTATAAAGATAATCAGATGAATGTTTCTTTGTCTGATCGATTGAAAATTACTTAGCCACGAGGCGTCATTAGTTCCTGAATTGGCCGATAGTTCCCCAATTTATTTGAATATGAGTATATCATTGAATAATATTAGAGGATTTTTTTGTGATGGTGATGGTGGGGACATTAGAATACATGCACAAGCTCTGAAATTCGGAGATGCGGAAGAAGCCTCGATAGCTTAGTTAGTGCGCAAGAGTCCCTGTTAGTCCATAAAAAATAGGTAAAATGCTCGTGAGGAAACCAGTGGACTTAATTTGGACAGAAATTGCATGAGAATCCCAGGAAACTATGTGATTTTTCAGGGGTCTGACTCACTCCATAAGGATGAAAAAAAATAAAAACCGCTCCCAAAAATGCAGGATTGCAAATAACTTGAAAACAAAGGATTACATGGAAAAATGTTTCGAATAAAACGCGTAGAGAATCCAATTTTACACAAAAAAGGTTCTGAAAGTTTTGTCCTTATATTTCATAGTTTGGCGGCTAGGAGCAGGTAAATTTTTAAATGGATTATTTTGGTAATTAATATATTTCATTGCTCGAATGGAACAAAAATTTTGATTATTTTTGTTATGGGATGAGTAAAAAGATTTTTAAAATTTTTTTCCAAATGGTTCACTCACCCAGTTTTGTCCACCCACTTCTAGCCGCCAAACTGTGAGGTGTACAGACAAAACCTTGGAAAACTTTGTATAGAATTTTATCCACTATGCTGTTTAATCGAACCATTTTCCCATTTAACCCTTTGGTTTCCGTTTTACCTATTGATCTTGGATTATGTCCGGCAATCGGGAGATGTGGCATTATACTCCACTAGAGTTCAAATCCGTATTCTTCCGAAGTTTTTTAATTTGCGTATTGTTTTCATGTTCAGCGATCATTGATGCTTTAATGGTCACTTGATTTTTTCAAATCATTCTGAAAATTGAACATTCCATTGAATTCGCAATAGAAAGGTATTTCGAGCTTCAAAATGAGAATTCCATTTATTATTACATAGTGAACAGATAAAATGGTCACTGGTAAAAGTTTCAAGATATTTGCCATGAAATTTCAAGGATACTTTTCTGCCAGTGTATGGGCTATAAACGGAAAATTTATTGTATATAGTAAAATATCATTACCTGAAAAGAGGACATTGTTTATATCCGGGGATTATCTTAATTCAATACTAGGACCTGAAATTGGGTATTGAAAGAATTAAGGATAATCGGGCGAGCCCGGAGGATTGGAAAAAAAGCAGCCATTTTTTTCTTTTTTTTTTACGTATTCTTTAAATGATGGAAAGGCATGTGCAAAGTTGCAGACTACTGGGGAGCATGGTTAATTTATTATTAATTTTTGAAAAAGTGGTCATTTAAGCCGTGATCTTATGGAAATCACCAAAAAAACTGCAAAACCCAAGGAAAAAATGCAGCCAAAGTCATGAAACTCTAAACACATTTAGAACACGTGATCAATGATTTTTTTAAGTGAAAAACATTGTCGCCTAGGAGCATTGTTTATTAATAATAGCGAAAAAAGTACTGAAAAATGACATTTCTACGCACACAGCCCAAACGAGCAGCAACGTCCCAAGTACCGATCGGGTGGGGGTAGCGCGGTCAATTTAAACATCTCTTGAGAGAGAGCGATGAAGCATTGTCATTGGAGCCTCCTCGAGCCAGTGGTACCAGCTCCTGGTAAAAAAAAAAAAACTACCGACGATATTGCCACTTTTTCGCATGGAATAATATTTTTTCATTTATTAAAAAAAAAACAATCTGAAAACCATTCAATGCGTGGAACAGATACAAATAAATTTGATTAGTTCGAAAAATAATTTTTATCCGGAGATACTCCCTAATATTGCCTGAATTTTTAATCCGAATGGGAAAAATTTTTTTGTTCAGCGATTGGTTTTCTGCAGGAAAACAATAGAAACCCCTCTGCCTCACCTCCTACATTTCCTCTTCGCCCGATTATCCTTAAGTGAATTGGACATGGAAAGCTAATTATAATCACAATAATCTTTAACATATTCTAACTGTCAATTTAATACAATTGGTTACAACCTCTTTAATTGTCGTTTAATACTGATCTTAAGCCCCAATGTTATTCGCCCTCATCTATTTCTCTTTTTTTCAGCGCACCCGAATATTAAATTATTTATCTATCAAGGAGGCTTGCAAAGTACTGAAGAGGCAATTGAATGCGGTGTACCACTTCTAGGGATTCCAATCATTCTTGATCAATATTTCAATATGGAAGCATTGAAACGCAAGGGGATCGCAGAGTCGTTGGATTTGTACACGATGACTAAGGGCGAGATCAAAGACAAAATCTATAAAGTTATATCAAATCCAAAGTGAGTAAGCAGTACGTCATTTATTGATTAATAGCGATGATATCAATATAATTTATTCATTCACCAATTAGTTGATAATAAAAATCTCTAAAATAGAGTCTCTAAAATAAGTCTATCTTAAGAGACTTATCTTAGAATCGTTTCACCGACAATGAAACGAAATGTTTGCAATGCCAATGCATTTCATTTAACATATTCAATCAGCCAATTGAGCGGACCACATCCAACTTCATCCATTTTTATATCATTTCCTTTCGAGATATTCATCGCACTCATATTCTCCGTCGGACGAAGATCTTTCAGTCTCAAACTGATTTCTGATGTCTATTTCGCCGAGATCTGTCTAATAATAATAAAGATGTTCTTATTTGAGACGGACGCGCAAGATGGACATCTTATTGTACATTTGTTTCGGAAAGCCCGTCTCTCATCATAGATTTCATCGTCGTTGTTTCCAGCTTCCTCCTTTGACGGACTCTGATAGAATCTCAATTCATTCATAATGGTGAAATATTTCTTGCCTGACTGGGCTTATTACCTCAGATTCTGCGTCGATTCCAGATGTGTTATAATTTCACTTGATTCACGTACAATTGCGCACGCCATCACCTGATGTGCTTTTCTGGAACGTAGTTTTGACTTCTAGGATGATTCATCCGTATTTTTATTTTCACGGTTGGCGTAAACACCGCTCTTCATTTCGACTTTATTTATATCTAGAATGACCTAAATTTCTGCTGAAATAGAAATTCCAAGTCGATTTTTCAGCTTACAACAAGCTTTGACGGTGTGATCTTCATATCTACAGTATTTGCATTTCTTCTGAATTCGATTCTGAATTCGCGCGACGTTACGTTTAGAATTCGATCGAATTGCTTCGTCGTTTCCATTTTTCAATGACATCACATTCTTTTACTGTGTGTCCCTCTTCTGCACAATTGAAGCAGACCTTATGCTTTGACCCTGTGGCTGGACTCTTTGTGCTATTTCTGCATTGTCTTTAAGGTATGTCTCCTCTCTTGAGAAGTCTGGATGCTTGGCTCCTATTACGACGTTGTCTTCAATTTTTGCCTGCTTTATTGAGGCTTTGTAGCTTGGAATTCTTCGGTTTGATAACACACATTACCCTGTGTCCCACTTCGGTTTTACTGCTGAGCAGCATTACCTTCTCGAGTCCCACTGCTATTTTCCGACACTTATGAAATGTTGCAATTCTTACCATTTTCACCACGCGATCATTTGGTTGCTTCAACCCTGATTCGAAACGAATTATCGCTAATTTCATTGCCAACTTCTCGACACAAACTGAAAATGGGCTAACGTTCCCATCTAATCCATGCCGGAGGCTGCAAAATTCCAGATGTAACTCCTTAAGAGTTCTTGCTCTGACACCTATCACTTTTGTACTCCGGTCAGTGTCGTTCTTTTTGCTACTTGGTACCAAAGCGGTCGTAACTTCTATAGATCATTCTCCAACAAGAGGTCGATGGATATTCTGGTTCCATTTTTCCGAACTCGTTTAACAATTTTGATACTACCACTCACAAAATACACGTGCTGTCGTTTCAGAAGTTAGTTAACAACTAATGGTTCTATTCGAAAGGACGCCCTTTAATTGCTAAATATCTAGCCCAAAATTCTGATGGCGCAATCTATTCCTTCCCCGTCTCTCTTCCCTTTGCTACCACATTTTTATGATCTGCTCTTTTCGGCAGAACGTGTCGAGACGCGTTGGCTCTGCATAGCAGACTAGACGTCACCAGGACTGGTAATGGCGCCGAGAAGGGACGGGAGGCCTCATGGGCCCTTTATTCTCCGTATATTACCTGTACCCAAATTTATAACCGCTTGACCATTCAATGCGTCATTCCAAAATCAACGAGTATTCATTCATTTACTTTCAAATGACTAAATTCTCATGAAATGATCATTTCCTGTTGAATGAAATGATAAAATAGAAGAAATATATATCAGAAAAAAATTTAAACCCGGACCGCCGGGTTGGTAAGCGGACGTGATGCTACTCGGCGCAATTTCGCTAACTATTCGAAAACTATATGTTAAGAACTTATATATATGTTATGCCCAAATCTTTCAGACAAAATTTGTCCCTTATTTTTGGGCATCTGCCCCTAGGTCTATGGTGAGGGACACCACTAGTGACACCCTTCAAATACATGAAGACTGGATGTTGTTGGTGTCCGACATCAGCCGGCCTCTCCTTGTTAGTCTATCTTATATAACATAAGTTGCAATTTTTTTAGTTACTCTGGACAATTCATCAATTTCAATTGGATCCTTCTTGGTTTTAACAACTTGATGTAGGTTGCTGTCGACCTTAGGAATGATCTATACCTCGAATTCTTCTTTGAAACGATTGCTGTAATCAAAAACAATTATTCACTTGTTTTGGTTTCTTTCATCAACTGCCATTGTGCGATACTCCTTCGACTCCTTCGAGAAAGACATGATGTGTTATCACATTCTTCTCACTCCTAGCTGACACATTGTAATGATTGCTATTCTTGCATATGAGATATTCCTTTTTTTGATTCTTCAGATGTCACCCAAAAAAAAGTCGGACTGAATCAGACCGAAAAATCGGTCTGAATCAAGTCGGATTGTATCATGCCGGGAATTGACTTGTTTCATGTCGAATTGACGACATGAATCAAGTCGGACTCGGACAGATGCAAACCAGAATATCGGGGTGATTCAAACCGATTTTTCGGCTTGATTCAAACCAATGTCGGCTGGAACCGTTTTTACTTGAAACAAAACACTTCTCGACTCATATCAGACCCGGAATTCGGATTGGCCTAGTCCGAGTCACTCGGTCTGGATCAAGCCGAAAATCGGTTAGAATCAAACCGACGTCGACTTGAATCAGTACTTTTTTTTGGGTGGTATATGGATTTTAGAAAAACTGGCTTTTTCGTTCTTCATCACTTGTAAGGGAACATAAGTCATCAATAATTTTCGGAGTAATTGAGGATGCGATGAATATAACCAAACTCATCTCTCTTCCAAGCCTCATTATTTCAAAGTATTACAATAGCGGCTGATGGAACAAAAAAAAAAGAAAACAATTAGATTACACAAGCGCAAAAGAACCGTCCAAGACAAATGAAATTCTGATGGATACAGAAAATCGGCCCGGGACAGATTTTGGGGTAGAACGGACCTAACACGTCCATCTCGAACGGATGAAACATCCGTAAACTCTTCGAATTTGTAGGGTGATTTCTATCTAACAGAGAACATAGGTAAGACAAAGTTTCTATTTGATTCTTTTCAGGTATAAGGAAAATATGGAAAAACTCGGGACTATTTTACGGGATAGACCTCGACATCCATTAGACGAAGCAATCTGGTGGAGTGAGTACGTAATCAGACACAAGGGCGCTCCGTATTTTCAATCGCCGAGGCTACCTTGGTACCAGCATCACATGATCGATATCTACGCATTGTTTATCGTTGGATTACTGGTTTTATGCTACCTTCTTTGGAAGGCTATACAATTTATTATCATTAGACCTCAAACTCATGTTGGTTCAATTCACAAGAAAGTCTTGACGAATTCTTTGAAATGGGAGAAAGTGAAAAATTCCTGAATAGGTCAGAACTGTGCATCTTGCAATGAGCTTATTCTATTATTCGGGCCCGCACACGGAAAGAATATGACAATTTTTGTTAATACGATACAATACTCTACTCTATTAGTTGACCTGAAAAAAATTGAAAATTTTCGGTAATTTTATAAATTATTGTTTAGGAGGTCAAAATGGCCGGAAATTGGTCCAAGTTGAGATGAATTAATTTTCCCTCCTCCATAATACAATATTGTTCTCGCAATAAATACCGTTCGCATTTAATCTTGGAGTCACATTAAGGACGTAAACAACATCAACAACTCTATGAGACCGTGATTATGCTTTTCTAACGAACAATTCCTCCGCTGTTCTTCTAACAGCTAGAAGTTCGAAAACATTTATACTGTCTAAATAACTGTGAAATCTCTGAGGATACATACTCACATATTATTTCACTTATAGGTATTGCACTCCAACAATTAAAATCTATATTGATGTTTACAGAATGAATCTCTTATGAATCTACGGATTTATCGTCAAAATAATGTTGAGTAATTCCCAGTTCTGAAACAAAGCCAAGTTACCACGCAAATAGCAACTCGATACTTGTCCCGGAGACTCAATTCATCAAGGGAGACTTCTGAACGAATGGAAAGGTCCCCAACGCAATATGTCTAACAATTTTTGCCCAATAGAATAGCTATATTGCCGATTGTACTGAATCACGGAAAATAATTTTTCGAAATGAATATACTAACAAGTCATGGCTTGCAAAAGGTTGTGAATTCGATTCCCTGTGGAACCGAATTTTTCAACGAAAGCCTTTGGCGAGCGGGCGGTTGCTAATAGAGTAACCGGCGGTACCGACATGAGTTTCCTATGGTTTCCCATGCTACTCCTATGATCTATAGGAGTACGAATGCGGTACAGTATAGAATCCACAGCCGCGTGCGTAGGGTTAGATAGAGTGCCGAAAGGAGACCTGACAAGAAAACTCAAAAGGCTGTAAAAAAAAAATTTCATTGATTCTCATTGTTTTCGGTGACGACCTGCAGTCATTGAATTTCTTTGTTTTTCGAAAATCAGTTAATATCAAATCTCTGAAATGTAGACATCAGTTAATCGATAATGGTTTTTCTTACCTGAACAATATCCTCTTTCCAAAAATGAAATAATTAAGTTAAATCAAGCACGAGCACACCGGACAACAAATGGGTAACGGTGTGCATTGTACTGCGTGCGTCAGGAAGGCGAAGTGTTCTCAGGAAAGTATTTTCTATGATTTCTTTTCTTTTGAGATTCATTCTTTCGGACCGATGATATGCCATTAAATAATATTCTTGTATTTTTGGGAATTCAAAAGATAAGTAAAGAGATTCGGTATTTCGTAGAAGATTTCAAATATTCTGAGAAAAAGTATTTTATGCCTTTTTGGCACATTGTTACAACTTCATCGCGACGAATTCAATCATATCCTATTTTGCCATTTGTTCATCGATTTTCTAGGAAATATCGCATGGGACTAGACCAAAATAAAATGATCTTGATTCAAGATTCCGCAGCACCCCTGAGCGCTAGAATATTGTTTTCTCACTAATACAGCAATTCATGAAGTAAATACAAGTAGCCTCCAACTATGTAAGCAATTCGACGTCGAATGGACCTGTGTGCCCCGCTGTGAATAACGACAACATCGAGCATCTCTTACAATGCCTGTTACCTGCATCTACACGATCACACATTCGAAACTTATAGAATAGAACCTGTAAGAAGGCTTAGATAAAGATGACCCCAGTTTGGTCTATTTCCGTGCAATATTTCATAGAATATCGAGGAAAAAATTAAAAAATAGGATATGGTTGGATTCGTTCCAATGAGAGGCACAACTTTAAGGAGGTGAAAAATTGTTGCCATTTGAAAAAACTGACTGCATGCTTACAGCATGAAAACATGAACAATAGAGGATAAATTCCATCTGCACTGAGTGTCCCCCTTCATACCCTACAACTTTCATCTGACATGTTTTGCTGTATGACTCCTCCCTGAAGAAATTTCCAACTGTCCTGTTTCAAATGGGACACACTGTATAAACCTGAGTCGAAATTTTAGTCGTTCTGAATCTTCCCTGTGTCTTCGAAGGCGACGATTCCTTTTGTTCTCGGATTTTTTCCCCCGTTTTTGGTGAGCGACTTTAATCTTCCAAGTCTTCACCACTTTTCAGGAGCGATAGAAATCTCCAGAGCGTCGTCGTTGATCGCTCGACTCCATCTTACTGTGGAAGACAGAGGACGACAAAATAAATATTCGCAACGACAACGGAACCGTAACGACAAAAGTCGTCCATCCGTACGTCCGAGTCTTCGAAAAGTTTAGGGTTCATGAAACAGGTAGAAGGGTCCAAAAGTCATAAAAAAATTTTTTTGAATTCAAATTATTCACATGAAGACTGATATCGTTCTCTCGTCGTCGAAGTATTCAAGAGTTTCGGGACTTGGACAAATTTTCGTGGTTGAGGGAACTTAGAAAAATTTCATTCCAGGGTAGGGCGGTGGGAGCTCTCCATTCTTTTCCGGGGTTTTCCCCTTTTTTATTGAAAAGAGGTAGGAGAATAAACGGGAAGGGGATTGGGCACATTTTCATTGCAACTAGCTATAGTATTTGAATGAAAATATAGCAAAGGAAAAATATTGACCAACTCAGTAATCAGCAGACTGCTAGACTGCCAAAACTAGAAAAAATCAAGAGTGCGTTGATTTACTGCTCGAAAACGTATTGAAAATATTGAAATTATAGTTTTCTTCACTTCTGACTGATACTATATCCGTCTAGTTCAGCCATAGAAAACTCGAAAACTACGAATTCGGCCCTTAATATCTTAATAAATACTTTTTTCTTCAGAATCTCATGAAAAAGGGAAGATTCGAGTGTCAATCAGCAGGCCACGGCGTCTTTCGGCAATCTCATCCTTTCAAAATAATGAAAAATCAAGGCACTGGAATGAAAAAAACCCTTTGACCGTCAACTTCGGAGTGCAATCGAATCTATAAATGAAATATAAGCAGTGAAAAATAACACATCCGATTTATATTTCGAATTTCAAGTGGAATCAACGTAAAGATTAAGATCATGAAAAATATTTGCAGCTGATTAGTGATGGCAATTTATGCAGCGCGTAATTCTTGAATAATGTAGCATAAAATATTATATCATATTATAGGTATTCCCACTGAAACACTGTTAAAATGTTTCAGAGCTCCATGGTTCCATGTGATTTTCAAACAATCTGGATTGTATTATTTTTTAAATTCTCAATCTCCAATGTTTCTACATACTCAAATAAATAAAATAAATTTTAATCCATATGTATATTTTCTTCTATAAAAGAATGGGACCTCCCTCCCCCCTCCCCGAACCACCGGTCCCCGGCCATAAAAATTACACAAAGACAGACATACTGACCGATGTCCCTAAAAATGAAGACTAGAGCGACCAAAGCACGCTGCGTGTCGCTCCAGCTATCATAAACATGAACGATTCTAGCATTCCTCAGATCTTCCTTGGTCTACATCAGTCCAATAACTACAATACCAGAGCCACATTGGAACGACTAGAGTCGTTCGAATTTTTATAACTACTGCCCATAAGACGACCATGGTATTCTCTGTGACTTCCGGTGTCGCTAAAGATATATTGAAATATCGGAGCGATTTGGAAGACATAAGAAAGATTCAGAACGACTATTTTTTCGACTCGGGAAATGAAGGGAATCTCATCAGAAATCGTATATAGCACCCAGTAAGAAAGAAATTCTATACGAAATCATATATGAAATCCTATAGGAAATGTTCAAGTTCTCCACAGGATATCCTATAAGATTTCCAATAGGATTTTTTCATACATAGAGAAACAATTTAATAAATGAAGAATAATAAAACTTAAACGTCACCTCCAGGCAATTGTCATTCGAGGCCCATTCACGGATGTCTCAATAGGGAGCCCAAGTCAAGTAGGAAAGTATTCTAGCTGAAGAGGGCAGGAAGGATAGAAAGGAAGAGAGTAGAGGAATGATTGCAGGTATCGCAGCACGAAAACAAACAACATTTCGCTACAATGAAACGCAATTTCCTGGTGTTACCGTGAAAGGGGGATGAAGGAAGAGAGTACCATATATCCGTTAGACTACGGTATCGTCATCATTCGTCTTACCGGCTAAAAGCTCCTTGGTTACACTCGTCGTTTGCTGCGTTAAACAATCGGACCTCCATCGTATTCATTAAGGAAGCAGCTTCACTCTTTCTTTCTCGGCTTGATGTTTCTTCATATGCATTAGAAACCATAGGGCGCACTCATTTGTCTTTAGAGTGGGAGACAATATTATGATTGTTGGTCGACAATAATTGATCATGTGAATTTGTATTTGTGATTTTAATCTAATTATTTTTTTATATGTTTATTTGTTTAGTGTTACCAAGGTATACTGCTCGATTTCACACCTACACCAGTCGCCTCTTTTTCTTCTCATTTTTCCTCCCTACATTCCGTTATCATGGGCCATCTTCTCCCCGAGTGTGCTGTATATCACACTTGCAAAATACGTATTTTTGCGCAAAGAGTAAGAGGTGGAGGAAACCATTTAAGACTCCAATTCGCACAGTTTGACCGATAGTATAGGGTCCTAGTCTACCTATCTATCACACTGAGGTAAATATAGTTAGCGGGCGAAATTCAGTCACTTCATATCTAATATTCAACATCATATTTAAGATGTTTTGGTGATGATTGGTATAATCTTAGCATTTGAATATCTTCAAAGGTACTATGTACTACTTTAGTGCAATACGTATAAGTCGTGGGGTCTTGGGTATACTATTCTTGTGGTCCTTTCTTATTATGTCTATCAGTTTTTGATCATTTGTAACGGATATAAAGTGTTCCTTCCTTCACTCCATCGTACCTTCTTACGACAACAAAATAACAAATTATAAACAAATTCATGTAAGTCCATTTTCATTACGAAGATATCAACTTTTCTCAATGACTAAGTTCTTGAAAGAACCAACAGGTTGGGACGTTGAAAGAGAATGGCAATTTTGTTCTCTTATTTTCTCCAATCTGTTCGGGCCAATGATTAATTTGTAACGACACGGATCGTCAGTCCGTAATTGATTTTTTGTTTGTAAAATGTGTTTATTTTCATTTTTAAATGAAAAATGAGACCTTCTAAGGCAAAATTGTTAAAAATTAGCCTCTAGGAGACTTCTCTCATCCATGAGAATCGGGAAAGGAAATACTCCAAACCTTTCCCAATTCTAATACCATTTGTCATCATCGACGGTCATAACTCCACGACAACGGGTTGAGTTGAGAAGAGGAGGTCCTGAGAAAAATCTATTGGGACGAAACAACATCCAGACTATCCCGTTTAGGCCATTGGAAAGGAGGATTGGACGATGGCGGCCCTCTACGAAGCCCGTGCTTTTCAAATGGGAGCAGAAGATGTCTTAAACCGAGGATCCATTGCCATCAACCACCGAACAACTATGGTCCAGGGTACCCTGACGCAAGGAACGTCCGGAGGGGGAAGCTCCCCCTCGTCTGACGAGCAAAACCTACAGGAAGTCAGCAAGGGATACTCGAATGTTAATAATATTCCAACTTTGTGGATAATTCACGACATTTAATCTAAAATAATTTTAAAATATCGAGAATATTGATTTATATCCATTTAGGAGTTTTTGAGAAATAATTTTCATGTAAATTAATGGCATAGAATATTCTAGCGTTTAATACTTCTGTTAGAACTTCAACATCCAATCCAATTCCGTGTCTTATGAATTTGGGGGGAGGTTCCTCCCCCAAAACAAGATCAAGCAGGCATATCGGTTGAACCGGCCCAAGCTTAAGGAGAGTCGTCTCCTAGCCAGCGCGAGATGTAGTAGGAGATATCGTCTCCTAGCCAGCGCGAGAGGTAGTAAAATTGTATTGCCTGTCAGATTGGCATTTATTTTGTTTATTTTGAGGTAAATTTATTAATTTTTATTATGGAGGTTGCTGTTTATCCTGGAGCAGGTGATTTCTCACAAATCGATAGGTGGGCAGAGCCGAATTGTTATTAAATTTGAGTGAAATTGTAAAATTGTAGCCTTTGTCTTGGCTATTCTTGAGAAAGCGTCCAAGATGACGACTTTTCTAATTTTTCATTATATTTTCTTGAGTTGAGGTTGTTGTGATCAACTCCTTTGATTAATTCGTTCACTTTTGTCATCTTCAAATAAATTTTTGGTTAAATTTCCGAATTAATTGTATTTTGATGTGAGATATTGATTTTTGATAGATTATCGATCCATTGTTCTTTCAAATTTCTCATTTTTGTCATTGAGGAGGTTCTAAAAGCTCCAATCATAATTTTCTTGTAAATTTCTTCATATTTATCTTTTTTGGAATTATATTGTTGTGCATTTTTCATAAAATTTGTGTTCTCATTGTGTGAGTGTGGAAGGTAAAATTTCAGGCTGGGAGTATCGTCCTCCCTCCCTTTTATAACAAGTAGAGTCTACTCTGATACCTGAGCTACCAGCCATTGTAATTGTGTTAAAATTGTTGATATATCTAAATCGAGAGGAGTCGATGCACTCTCGAAAAATAATCCATCGACTGGCGTCCAATATATTTAATATTTCAATTAAACATAATTCTATGTTACATTCTAAATTTTCCCCGAACGTCACAAATTGATTCATCTAAATATCAGTTCAAAATGGGCCTGGTGTCAATTATCACGCCGTTAATGGTTTGAAGTGTTATCAATCATCTTCGGGTCTATTGTGGATTTTAATTGGCCCAGAGTGGACCTTTCCCTCCGGTACCAGCTCCTTGAACTATTTCTTATTCCCTTGAGACGAGGTCAGTGCGTCAGTAACCGCATTTATCGAGATTCCCAACGATTTGACGTTTGTTGTGTTCATGTCTCCAATTTTCCTTTTCTTTATGATTGTGGCTTGACTAGTGTTTGGATCAATAATTCTTGAATTTCCCCCTGGATAATTCGTTGCGGGTTAATTAAGGGTTCTTGCTGACTTCTCAGCACAAATCATTTTCTTTCTATTTCTCTGGAAACCCTCAAGTGTTATCCTAACCTCTATTTCTCTAGTTCACTACCGACAAGCCGTGTCTTTTTGATCTATTTCACTTCGCTCAGCGTCTCATGTATCTTCTACATCCTGTTTTCTCACTCCAGAATTTTCAGAACAACATCTCCATTCTCCTGATGGCATAGCCATTAGTTTGAGAATCACAGGGCTCTCATTCTCTGGCAAGGGTCAATTGACTTCTGTGGGTCTTCAGGGTGCTGATGGTTGGATCTGTCCTCTGAGTGTTGATTCCGCAGTTGTCCTTATTCTAATACATTCACAAATCCGCTAGCTTAATTTTGCCAAATTGAACGTTCTAAAAATAAGTACTTGAGATCAATTTTCGACGACGTTTTGAAACTCAATTTATACGTTCATAAGATCAACTTTTTGTTTACTGGATCGACAATGTCCTTATATATAAAGAATCCTTATATATAAAGAAGAGTATATAAAGAAGAGCATCGAGAATCTCGAATGAGCACTCGAACAGCACTCGAATGAGAATCGATTGTAAAAAATGTCGAACTCGAAACTCGAACATGAGAACAAGCTTCGATAAGATCATTAACAGATGGCATTGCTAGGGAAATTGGCGCGAATTTCAAAACATATTTCTTATCGGAAATAAAATACAAGTGCATTATCTTACAGCTAGGTAAATTGATGCATATGTTGTGTATTATAAATATGAAAGGGAGCCCCTTCATCTCAACTGAGATAGTAATGCAAGGGGGGGGGGAGAATGCATAAATTTCAGGGCGAAAAATTTTTTTCACCTACTTTTTTTTTTGGCCCGTTGAATACTAATATGGAGGTTCCCAAGTCAAACTCCTGTGAGATTTTTTGTTGTTAACGAATTATTAATAAACAATTGGAAAGCCAACTTTTCCGATGAGAATTTTTTTTCCGTAGAACACACCTGATTTCAACGGGGATAAGTCTTCAAACATTTGTCCGTATTTACAGCGATTTTATCAATAAAATTTCATGAACAAATGATTTTTAAAGTATTTTTCAATATTATTTGCTGAAAATGTTGACTGAAATTTTGTTTTGCATTTCACGTAGTTATATGGGTTTTTCATATGATACGTGAGTGATTTATAAAAAAAATCTACTTCGTTATTTTTTTTTCAATTTGTTTAAATAAAAGACGAAAAATATAAATTTTTATTAAGAAAATTTTCTTTTCTGAATATTGCAGATATTTTATTGAAGATAAGTCCTTATGATTTTTGCCTTTAACTCGACCGTTTGTTGAATGAAAAATGATAAATAAATTCGTTGATCGTTGTTTATCACTTTTTATTTAACAGACAGTTGACTTGAGGGGAAATATCATGAGGACTAACCGTCCTTGAAATATCTTGAATCTTCAGAAAAAAAAGTTTTCTCATTAAAAATCGACTTTTTTTCATCTTTCGTTTAAACAAATTATTAGACAAAAATAATCCAGTTTACAGGAAATATATTTCTTCATGAATCACTTACGTATCATATGAAGAACCTATGCAATTATGGGAAATGCGAAAAAAAGTTCCAGTCAACATTTTCAGTGAACACTATAGAAAATACCTTGATAATTATTTGTTGAATCAAATTGCTGTATCTCAGAAACTACTGGGCCGATTGAACTGAAACTGCGCCTAAAAATGCTCCAAAGTAATACCAATTATGTGACGAAATTTTAGATTTCAAGCTTCAGCTTTAGTCCTTTTTGTGGTTTTTGGTAAAATTTTGTAGTTTTTCGTTTCATACCATTCTACATAATTTCCAAGCAAAATTAGCGAATCGAAAAATCGACCGATTACAATGCTTCCATTCGGAAGCAAAAATTACAAGAATTGCTGGATTTTATAGAAGGTTAGGAAAATTTCAGATTATTTATCGAAGGTACAAGTTCATGGAATAAAGGGAAAGGCGACGACTGAAAAATCTGGACTATAAGAAATTTTGGAATGAATGTTTTGCCCTTTGAATAGAATTCAGTTCAAAATTATATTAAAAATCTTATTCAGTGAGCCTAGAAATTCCACATTAGTGAATCACTTATTGAAATATTGAAATTGAATAGGTAATGAACCGAGATGCATCGTTCTCATTAATCTGACACTCAGTACAATGAGAACGACGATGAATAATTAATTTTGATAAAAATGAAAAAGAAAAAAAGGAGAGCCGGCATAATGAAAGGGCATCAACGTCGCGGCTGCACTCTGATTGGTTGAAATGAGAATAAAGAAAATAATTTTTAAAAATACGAGAGAAACATCCAATGCTCTCAACACTTCTACAAATCCTTCGTGTTACATGAAAAAAAATTCATAAGATTTTGGAATCTTATGTAAAATTTGACTAAATTGCAGATGAATGATCCAAGTTTCTGATTGATGGAATCCTTGAATGGAATAGTGAAGAAGATCATGAATAAGGAGAAAATACTCTGAATTAGTGAAAAGGCATTAGAATTTGTTGGATAATTTTCCCAGACAAATAATTGAATGCTTTTGCAGGGGAGTGAAAGGGGATGAAGGTGGAGGCAAAAAATTGAAAATTCTGGGATATATTGAATTTCATGATTATTGTGTCAGACTCTGAAGGGAATTCCGACTTGAATTACAATTGAAATCGAGAATATAGATTCAGTGAGCACAGAAATTGAAAATTAAGAAATCACTTATTGAAGTATTGAAATTGAACAGGTGGTAAACTGACATGCATTGTTCTTATTAATCTTAATATTCAGAACGATGAAAATGCTGATAAATGATTAATTTTGGAGAAAAAAGGAAGGAAATAGAGAAAAAAAAGAGGAGAAAGCATAATAAAGGGGCATCAACGTCGTGGCCGCTTGCGGCCGCGGCGGCGCTAGTTGTATAATATTCTTGAATCTGCCAGCATTTATCGTCTCAAAGTCGATTTCAACAAGAAAGAAAAATGAATCGCCGTAGGATGGGCCGCTAAACATACGAATATCCACAAATATGTAAAAATCTCACCACCTTACGACGTCTTCACCTCGAATCGATTGTCACGATAATTTCATTATTATTCAAGCAATTCAGATGGTATTTAATTTTCTGCGACGTTATCTTTATTTTTCGATTTGCATTTCATTCATACGAAATAGACTCGTATTCCCCGATTCGACTTTTGTTCCTGGCTTCCTTTACTTTTTTTTCACTTCTTTCGTTATTTTTTATCTCTCTCGTCGTCTTGAGTCGCTTTAAATTCCCGGTGTTACGAATCTGCATATCGTTATCTTTTTCCAGAGGCGACGCTATTATTCGGGTTTATGACCAGACGTTTGTCGGTGAAAATTTTTTTTTCCCTTTGGTTCTTTTTATGAATTGCTTATATCCGCCCGGTGCACTGGGCATTGATTTGATTCAATAACTCCACAGAGAAGGAATTGGATTTTCAAAAGCAATATTATTGAAACAGCAATAAGTTCAATTTTTATGAGAATCATCTCATTTTCATAAATTCAATCACTAAGAATATAATTCGTTTATTTTTCCTTCGGTACGGATAGGAAGTTATATCGGGAGCATGAAGAATACAGGTAAGGAGGCTGAACTGTAGCGGTCAGAAGTTCTGACCGTGGGACACGGAGGGAGTATAAGTTAGTAATTCCTCTTATGGCCATAGGACAGCACTTTCGTCTACCATGTATCACACGTACACAACCGCTGTTTGATGTATTTGTGGCTTTGTTTACTCTTCAAAGTTGACGTTATTATTGTTGGATTTAATTCNTGAGAGATCTCGGTGATTTCTTAAGGTTAACTTACCAGGAGAGCTATCGGGTTCTTTCAAAAGAGGAATAATGGAGGGTATGGATGAGGGGAGATCTCGGGAGGTTTTTGGGGGGTATCTATAGTGGAGTTCTCGGGGTATTTCTAAGGGGGAAGGAGGGAGGGGAGGGTGTTTAATGGGGGGTATGGTCAAGGGGAGATCGTGGAGGTTCTTTGGGGATAACTCGGCAGCGCAGTTCTCCGAATTTTTAGAGGGGGCGGGGGGGGGGTCAATGGAGGGTATGGTTAAGGGGAGATATCAAGGTTTTTTGGGGGTTACTCTCCAAGGCAGCTCTCTGGGTCATTTCAGGGGGTGGCGAGTCAATGTAGGGGATGATCGTGGGGAGATCTCGGGGGATTTTTGGAGGGTATCTTTTCGCATGAGCTCTCAGGGTCTTTCCAGGGGGAGGTCGATGGGGATAAGGTCAAGAGGAGGTCTTTGAGGTTTTTTGGGGATAACTTTCCAGGGCAGCTCTCAGGTTTTTTTAACCCATTGAACAACCTCACAGTATCCCACTCTTCGGAATTTGGTGGTAGTATGCGTGCGCAGCTGAGCATTTCTTATGGCGCACTGATACGTTGAGGGGCTCCCTACTCTCCTCGCACCGATACCTTCAGTGACTTACATTGTTCAATGGGTTAAGAAGGGGGGGGGGTCAATGGAGGGCCCGGTCAAGGGTAACATTCCAGGGCAGCTCTGAAGGTGTTTTAAGGGGGGGGGGCAATGTAGGCTGTGGTCAAGTGGGATCTCGGGAGTTTTCTGGGGGTATCTTTCCAAGGGAGTTCTCAGGCTTTTTCTAGGGGGGGGGATTAATGGGAGGTATTAATGGGGGGGATTAATGGGAGGTATGGTCAAGGGGAGAACTCGGAAATTTTTTGGGAGTATCTTTACAGAAAAGCTCTCAGGGCTTTCCGAGGGGCGGGCATGTTAATGAGGGGCATGGTCAAGGGGAGATCTCGGGATTTTTTTGAGATATTTACAAAAAAAAAATATTTGCAGTCCATGGGTTGATGAAGAACTTGGGTCACAATCCCGAATTACTTTTCTAATCAATCTTTCGATTGTATGTTTCAAATGTCAAATATCGTCTAAGAACCCCAGGAATCTCCTCTTAGCCATTTCCTCTGAAAATACCCTAGAAACTCCTCTGAAAAATGTTCCGTGAAAATCTCGGCGATCCCCCTAGAAAAATCCCCCTAGTTATCCCCTCAAACCTACTTTGAGAAATGTTCCCCAGATTTCTCCGGAATTTCGTTTCAACCATACTTTCGAGATCTCCTCTTGACCACACCCCTATTGACCCCTGGAAGCAACCTCAAAGAACCCCTCGGGATGTCCCCTTCATCATACACTCCTTGGCAAATCCTAGAAAGATCCAGAGAGCTATCCCCAAAAGTGATCTTCAAAATCACGCGAGATCTGCCCTTGACGATCCCCTTCATTAATCCACTCCAGAAAGACCTTCAGAGCTGCCCTGGAAAGTCAAACCCAAAAAACTTCCGAGATCTCCCCCNATAGAGGGTATGGACGAGGGGAGATCTCGGGAGGTTTTTGGGGGGTATCTATAGTGGAGTTCTCGGGGTATTTCTAAGGGGGAAGGAGGGAGGGGAGGGTGTNGAACCCCTCGGGATGTCCCCTTCATCATACACTCCTTGGCAAATCCTAGAAAGATCCAGAGAGCTATCCCCAAAAGTGATCTTCAAAATCACGCGAGATCTGCCCTTGACGATCCCCTTCATTAATCCACTCCAGAAAGACCTTCAGAGCTGCCCTGGAAAGTCAAACCCAAAAAACTTCCGAGATCTCCCCCCGAGTATATCTTTCATCAATACCCCCTCGAAAGGCCCTGAAAGTTCCTCTTGACCATATCCCCTATTGACCCCCATCCCTAGAAAGATCCTGGGAGCTGCCCTAGAGCTGTCCTGGAGAGTTACCCTTAATAAAACCCTGAGATCTCCCCTTGTCATTATCCCCATCGACCCCCCCCCTGGAAAGACCTTGAGAGCTCATGCGGAAAGATACCCTTCAA